AATAAAAAAAATATTAGTTAAGTATATTTACTTGATTTGTCACATGTGGACCGTGTTTCGGTGTTTCTCATCAATGTTACACAAGACACTACCTACATAACGATCTCAAAAAATGTTGAACGAAAATCAAAAAATAAACAAACAAAATTACGTCTGGTTTGAAACTTGGGGCCAATTATTATTTTCATAACAGTTCAAAAAAGATTTTTAATTGAGTCGGCGAAGTTAGGATCATTTCCATTCCTTTTCCTAATTAACGGGATTTTTCTTTGGTTTTTTAATCAACCTAAGGGTTTTGTTTACAAGAGTTCTGTAGAAGTAAACTTTATCTTTTCGAAATTGTGGATTGCATTTTCACTTGCAATCCTAAGTATAACTGGTGATAGTAGATACAACCTCCCATTCAGTTGTTTTAAAATTTCCAGTTTGATCTACTGTTTTAATTGCATCTAAAAACATTAAACATCTAAGCTAGAATTTTGCCAAGACTAGCATTCGCTACGTTAGCTTTGGAACCAAATAATGAAACAGCTAAAGCACTGTCTTATGCACTAAAGCGCTCTCCAAGCATCTTAGACACCGGGATGTGTCCCAGTGTCCCAATTGTCCCTGTCCCAATTAATTAATCCCGGCTTGGCCCCCGTCCAGGGAGTGCTCCAGGCAAACAATAGAAAAAGCCACCTAATTCCCAGGAATCGATGTGGTAAAGTACATTTCTGGTAAAAACGTACTTTGGATAGAGATGGCGTATTATAGCGACGAATAAAATTCTAGTGCTCTCGCATGATTGTAGAAGGACTTTAGAAAGTTAGTTTTTGTTTTGTCGAACGTTTTATAGATCTAACGTTTAAATCAGTTAGCACTTGAGGTATAAATAAATAAATAAATATCCTAGGACATTTTACACTGCGCTTCTAGTCCCAAACTAAGCTAAGCTTGTACTATGGGTACTAGACAACAGATATAAACATACTTAAATACTTTTTTTTTTGTAAATACATACATATTATACATAGAAAAAACCCAGTCCAATACAAACAAATATGTTCATGCACACAAATGTTTGTACTGTGCGGGAATCGAACCCGCTACCTTCGGAATAGTAGTCCGCTTCGAACCACTACACCAAACGGCCGACGAAAGAGTGGCACGGCGGCACGGGAGTGTGTTTTTGTAGCGTCAACGTCAGCAAAACTTCAGTACCTCTAGTAGGAAAAACTTTCGAGTTCGTTTCGTTGCGTATTCAAAGTGTCATCGAAAAATTTTGTATGAAAAATTAAACAGCGCCCCCTATATTATAGCCGCCCTAGGGGGCGCTGTTTAATTTTTCATACAAAATTTTTCGATGACACTTTGAATACGCAATGAAACGAACTCGAAAGTTTTTCCTACTAGAGGTACAAATGTGCTTCAGTTTTGTATGCTCTGTCAAGTCATATTATGTCAATATCACCCTTCTCGTCCCACTCTCATACTTCAGGCACAGATAACTTTGTTTTTATTTAGGCTTTTGGTTCATGCATCGTTATGAATTTAGATGTGGAGCATCTTAAAGACCCTAGACTTCAAAATGTTTAAAAGGAAATTAGTATGAAGAGGTGAAAATGTGAAATGCATAAACACCACTGGCCTACCATAGAAAGAGTAAGTACCTACTCTATCTTAAGTGGTACTCCGCAGGGGTCTGTTCTAGGTCCGTTTTTGTTTCATAGTACATACATTCAATAAACTACTTTTAAAAAAATGTGCTGATCACAAAAATAAACTAATTAAGGATCTCTTGACTGAGTTGCATCACCTTAACTGACTTTAACCGGTGTTTTTTTATGGAGTTTGACAGAATTTTGACGTATTTTATAGATAATGATGGAGCAACACAGGGTAAAAAATAAGCCAGCTGCATTTTTTCAGACCTTAGTCATGTAAAAAAATAGTCACTCATGATAAAGGTAAGTACCTAAAGGCCTATTTTAAAGCATAATTACAGCTAACTCAACAAGATAAAATGCTCATACAAAATTGAATCCGGGTCAGGGCAGACAAAACAAGCGAAGACGTGGAGTGGCCAAGCACCACTTGCACCTTGGCAAGAACTACGCTGTATCTTTAAATCCCTGCTTTAGTGTGCTCTTGATTATTAAGGCTAACGAGGGCAGTGTAGTGTGGAATTAAAGGAGTGTGCTTTAAATTACTTAATGCAAGACAACCACAAGTGCGACATTAATGGATTCAAAATAACTCTTTACGAAAAGTCACTCACATGAGTTTTTAATCAAAATAGGATCTTCTTGATTCTTATTAGTGTGATTATTAAGATAAAAAAAAATCAAACTTAATATTACATAATTTTATGAGTCTGAAACAGACAGAAAGTATTTATTTGTTTCAAAACAGGTGACAATTATAGGGCATAAATAAAAAAAATTAAAGGTTAAAAGATTCTGTACTGAATAAGTACTAAACTATTGTAGGCATATTGTTTTATGGTGAGTTAGACTAGAGCACTCTATGTAACGTTTTTGCGAATAGTAGGTACTTTATGAAAAGGTATATCATATTAAGAGCCATTTTACATTTTCGTGCGAATTTCTAAGATTTTGGAAGCATGAATTACTATCTTAAGCAACACCCAGAGATTATTTAATAACTGCGAAAGATAGGTCGATCCTTGTTGATGACCATTAATGAAACGGATTTACTAAAACTCTTTTGCTTAATTCACAGTGCCCCATCTCCCACAACCATTTTACGAAAAAATTGCCGCAGACTCATTTTCAAAGTCCTGTATCTATTATTTATGCTCATATAATAAGCTTAAAAATATAAAGTAATCATCGGACATATATTCTTGTAGTTCATTAATGAAATAGATTCTTGAATTTCATTACCATTATTGAGTAAAATCTAAAAATAATTTGGCAAATTTGAAGATTAACGTCACATTTTGATCGTGGTTTTTGGTTTAAAAACACAGCAATAACTGCAATAAAAGTATCCCAAAATAAAGAATATTCATTGTAGAATTGATTTCTACAGTTATTGTTTAAATATTAGTAACCACTTTGTCAAAATATTGATGTGAATATCAGTATAAATTACAATGCGCAAGCCGACATCGATTAGTATGGCGCGAGCGCCCGTCAAGGCAGGACGTGTGTCATTTTTCCCGCCGTGACGTTTACGTGCGTTCGTGTCGTGAAGCGGTGATTTGTACGGCGACCAAATACATTTGATACTATGCCGAGAGGCTGTTTCGAGTCGGCCGGCCGAGCAGAAATTGAAATGATGAATTTTAATTTCTTTGACGGATCTGGGTGTAACTATGTATAATATGTAGGTACCATGTATTTAATTTAATAAATAAATTATAAAAAAGTATATCCATTATGATAGCACCCTTAACACAAGCATATTGGTTGCCTACTTTTGGACTAGATGGCGCTGTGAAATTGTCCAAAGATTTGTTTATTTATTTATCCGCTTTGAGTTTTGTTTCGTGAAGAAGAAAAAGAAGCGTTTTGTTCTGTTGTTAAATCTATACTAATAAAAGAGGAAAGATTTAATTGTTTGTTTGTTTGTTTGGAGGCAATAGGCTCCGAAAAAAATTTCTTTCACGATTTAGAATCCTAATTTTTTTCTATGTTGGCTATAAAATATTTTCAAAAACTTTAGTCCAAAATCTTTGATAAAATTCGACGTTTAATAAATAAATTAGATAACATATTAATACTTTTTTTTTCAGTACGATTTTAGTACTTGTTTTTCAGAAATTCTACGATTTAACTAAACTTCTAAAGTGTTTATATTTTATGCATAATTTATTAACTTCTAAAATATACATATATCCTATTGATAGATGACGTGCTTCGTATTTTATTAAAATTATTACCTGACTAGGTTAAAAAGGTGTGGAATGTTATTTTGGAGATAACTTGGTTCCATAGAAATATAGAGAGATGCTAAGTAATGCGCTGAGTTCGAAACTCAGTGTCGTATTAGAAATTCACACACACAAAGAAATCAAATTATGTGCTCATTATCCATTGCGGTATCAGTATTCAACGTTCGAATAATCTTTAGTACTATGCAAGCAATATAAACTGTTTACATAATGACGTCGCTACTGTCATCATTGCTTTCACAAGCAATATGTTCCAATTTGTCCCTTGTCACATTTCCCTTTAGTTTCTGTGATCTGTGCTTGTTTCTAAGTTGATATCAATGAAATATTCCTTAGTACTTTTGATTTAAATTATTTTTTTTATTTTGACACGTGTTTGAAAAATCAAGGTCAGATTACAATAAAATAACAAGTGAAAACGTAACATTGCATTGCAACTCGCAATTTCGCAATATTGATGAGGAGATTCCATTGGAAAGTCTGTATTCATTCCTAGGATTCCCCTAACACCATCAAATTCAAGAGAATTCAAGAGAGTGCAGTTTCCCATCTCATGCTTAGGGACCACGGTTTAAAATAGTGTGGTTGCATAGAGCCTGCAACGGGCAACCGCGTGCGCAGCTGCTCATACTAATTTTCGATACAAAAGCAAGTGTTGGCGCCCTCACGAGTTTTAGCGGAGTTCCATATGGTAGCGGGAGTAGACTTAATGGAAATCTATGCTTCTCCGACGACCAGTTGTATGTGGAATACTCCAGAGTATGCGCACACAATAGCCTGGTGATTTTAGCACCTGAAGGAAAAACAAAAAAACATTGTTTACAAAGAAATCTGCGGCAGGTGTAGTGTTTTAATTTTGTTTTAGAAAGATCTCATAATTTTGTAAGTATTCAAATATTTAAACATAATGATGTGTAGATTTTATATCAAAAAATATAATCATTTAACAAAATTAATTTTCTTAGAATATTTTAATTCTATTAGAACCATTTTCCACTTCATCGCAGAAGAAGTCGCGGGCAAAAAGCTAGTATGAAATATGTAGTATTGCCCGCGGCTTCACCCGCTTGAAATTTAGTTTGTCACAGATCGTCATAAATTATAGCCTATACATTGTAATTCTGGTCGACGCCAGGGATGGATGAGCGTCGCTGTCGCTGGCGACAGGGTCTTCTGGTTCAGGGTTCATGGCGTAGGTCTCAGGCAAAATGAAATCCACTCGTAGAAATTAATAAACTCAGTGTATTCACGAAAATGATTACACACAGCACTAGAGTCGTATCGGAACTGAGTGAACCAAAGGTCTTGCGATAGGAACGTCCGACCCGAGTGATAGTTGAACACAGACTGCCTAGTACTGCTGTACTGTACTGTAAAGTTTCATCAAAATCTGTTCAGTAGTTTTTGCGTGAAAGTGTAACAAACATCCAGACATCCACACAAACTTTCGTATTTATAATATTAGTAAGACTAGTAAAAAGTAAGATGGTAAGATGAATTATTTTAGTTATTTGTTTACTTATAATAATATTTATTTATTTATTTCTTAGCTCTGTCTGATAATGGATCTGGAGAAGATGCAATGGCCACCTCCGTAACAAAACAATAGAACCCTATGGAGTTAAGGCTTGTGTGATTCGCCTTGACGAATATTTCGTATCCAGGGTCCGATGATGGAGCTGTAAGGGGGCAGATTATTTTTTTTTCACTATGTGACTGTCTTTATTTTGTACTTAATATATATTTTACATATTATACCTATTCGTGTTTCATTATGAATCGAAATATAAAAGACTTAATAAACTCTATTAAAAATTTAGTTTAATAACTTAAATCAAGTCTTAATACGGTCACGGCTCAAGATTTTTTTGTCCATTTCAGCGTTCTTTTTACTCTTTTGACGTTGCGTTGACAGCTTTTACCTAAATTCGCGCGGAATATTTTTGTGAAATGGCTCTTAAGAAGTTGAAAATGATGAAAGGGTATACTGACTCTGACACTAGAATATTTCATAAATAAATATTGACTAAATTATACAACTAAGCTTTATAAGGCCAATGTGAAGTTAAAACTACTCATCATTATTTTAGCTGAAATGAAATATGTTCGAACGGAATAACAACAAATAAAGATACCATTAATGATCCAATAAACAGTGGCAGACAATTAATCCCCATACAAAAGGAAACGATGCCCAAAAAACTGGATTACAATCAACTATCGTCCATCGAAAATGACCTTTATCCTCTCTCGATAGGGTTCGGAACGGAATGCATGACAAATCATAAAACTAATGCCATAACCATGACTATCTTTAGTCCGTTATAATATGACCCATCGAATTCAGAATTGGAACCCTTCTGTTAACCTTTAACATTCCGCTGCAAGGGGGGAGGCAGATCTACACAATTTGGTTGGTTATACCAAAATAAATGGCATCTAATCACGTGATCCGACAATTTGTCGTGACGCCTAAACGATTATTCGGATCATTAGTCATATTACCACCTTTGATAACATCATTTATGCTCTCATTATGAAATTTATGATGTCGGGTTGCGTAGCAAATGGAAAAACCGTTACGCGAATGGCATGCACTCTAATTTTAACTTGTGTGGGTAGGAAATTAATGTTTTGTTGGATATAATAGATATTCTTTGAAGTCACGGAACGATTTCTGCATCAAATGTAAAAATAGTACGTTGTTAACATAATATTTTTTCACTGCATCAAGTAACTGAGTTACTTACAAGGCATTAACCCTTAAAAATGCATGAATAAACAACTTTACTTCATTGCTTCATTCTAATTTCGAGGTCCTATTGGTTCTAATTATGATTATTAATTTTTCATAATATAATGCGCAAAGGAAACCACACTGTTTTATAACTACCAAACAGTAAACAAAATTTTGTAATAAAAAGCATCAATTCATTCATAACGCACTATAATAAACAACAAAAGATTAAAAACTAGTACAAATACGTCGAACATAGTATTCTCCTGATGATTATTTTGAATCACTTCTACTTTCATCTTCTGGTATTTCGGCGTTCTGGGTTTTAGGAGAGACAATAAGCCGTCCATGGTTTCCCGACATGTGGGTAGAATCAATTTTGGGGGTAGAGCGAACCCATCTTCCCCGTTGTCACGAAGTTCCATGGTTACAACGTAACTGTGTATAAAATGATCAGTAAAATTAATTCTCATTCAGATAATTACAATAATAATCATAAATACTTTGTCGTATCGTGCCGTGGGCAGGCCTCCCACTAGGTGGACCGACGATTTGGTGAAGGTCGCGGGAGGTGCCTGGATGCGAGCGGCGCAGGATCGGTCTTCGTGGAAATCCTTGGGGGAGGCCTTTATTCAGCAGTGGACGTCTTTCGGCTGAAACGAACGAACTTTGTTGTGTTAGATTCCGAATAAAAATTATAATAATTTGTTTTTCCGATTAAGGGTTAACGCGTCAACAACAATCATCAATGAAACCACCGTACTACTACTACTTACATTACACCTCACAGAGCTACATGATTTAAATTTAAATATTTAAGTGTATTTGCCACATAATATTTTTTAAATTGTTGAAATTTTTAGAAACAAGTTGTACTTACGGAACTTTAAAAGTTCTTTTAACCCAACAACCGCTAACTCCAGATGTTCTGTACCCTGAAATAAAATACGTAATGAATTCTAATGCTTCCTAAATTAACCATAATTTTCATGAGTAATGAAATATCGACTTTTTGTCAGCTCAAGAAAGATTTCCTTTTATTGAATGTGACATAATCTACAAACATTTACCTACAGTATCATACGCAGTACCAACTGAGTATTGAGTACCATATCTTCGCGAAATTGTCCAAGCTGCAGAAACTCCCATTTTTTTCTGCAACAAAATTATGTAAAATGGTACCAAATTTTTAGCCGACTGGGCCAGAAAAAGGGTTATTTTAACACTGCAGTACACGCGCCCCTTTTTTTACACGAATACACGCCCGGCCTACTCTGGTAAGCCAATTTAAAATCACTGTAAATCAGTTTATAAGCAATTTATGAATAGAATTACTATGTAAATGATAAAAGTGTTTATTATAGTTATTTTATAATCAAAGTTTTTTTATACAACTATTTGGGATCAAACATTATAAACAGATTTAAAAGTTGTAAATTTTTTGGACCAAAATTGCACTTTGAGACCAATGTTAACAAACAATAATTGACTGAATAAATATGATTAGTTTTTTATCTGTCATAGTATTCATGACTTTCTACTGCCTGGTACACGGTGTAAATCCATTTGTTACAAGTCTTTCATAATTTTTTTCTCGAATGATTTCGGGCTTTTGACTAGACCCGCAGTTTTGACGGCCAATTTTAGAAAAGTGCGCAGACTCTAGCGACCCAAGCTTTACTGGCTTACTGACAAATTTAGTAAACGAGGCTTTCCTGGAATGCCAGCTCTCTGGCGCAAGTTTTCAAAAAGTTATAGCGTAAAATGTTACCCTGGTCTACTATAGTAGTCCGCGCGTGTACTCTAGTGTTAATAGCAGTAACTAATCCGGTACCATAATAATGACAGCTCTAGGATAACAAGAGTTATTCGTGCTTGGGTTATTGTACTCAGTAAAAGTTCCAAACTATCTAAAACATTTAGGCATACTCACTACTTCATCATAGTTGTCTTGATGCTTTATGGAGTGAGCGTAAGGTATGATCATAAACTGCCCATACGAATGGAAGCCCAGGTAGTATTCTAGGTCTTGGCTGTGAGACTCAACGAACTGTCCCATAGCTTGACTCTCTTTTTCGGAGAATGCTGAAGGTCCACAGTAAATGTCCGAATATTTGTGGTTGCTTACTCCAATCGCTGTAAGAAGTAAATTCAGGGATTTACCTGGTAGTGTTGAATTTAATTGCGTGAAAAAATCGTATTTCATAGTCGTCTAAGATCTTTGATTTGAATGTAACTAATATCAGGGCCAAGTCATATTATTTTAAGATATTACTGTGATAAAAATACAATGTAAATCTTTTTGTTATGTAGGGAATATTCTATCTATGACATTCAATTTTTTTTAGATAGTGTTATGCTTAGTCTAGATTTGGCTATATTTAAAGCTTTGTATAAAATGGATGTAAACAACAACATACATCCAAAAGCATACGCAAAATTCCTGTTTATATCCACACCATATCCTCGTTCACGATTTTTCCTCCAGAGACGGTCCTGTGGGAAAAATATTTCACTTTGAAAATATTTGACGTCCACTGCTGAACATAGATCTCCCCCAATGATTTCCTTGACCATTGGTAGCGGTCTGCGTCCAGCGCCTACCTGCGATCATTATTGGGATTCAACATTACAAACAAAACATGGATTTTATTAGGTACTAAAATAATTTTTGACACTGTCTACTTTTTCTGTGTAGCTTGTCACTCAAGAATTCCTACCTAATGCTTATTGATTTTTATCATGTTCTTTTACTTCTATTTATTATCCACAATGTCAAACCTCTGTATGACTATACTCGTATCCATCAGGGTTCAGCACTGGGACGAAATACCACTCATACGTCATTGCTATGTCCAACAACTCTTTGTTCTTTTTACTTGGGGCATAAAGAATTTCATACATCATGTAAGTGACAAATGCTGGGGATATCCACTCTCTAGCATGTATCCCTCCTTCTACAATTACTTTGGATCTGCAAAAAGATTGAGACACCTTTATCATTATTTTTATCATTATCATCATCTTCATTTTCAACATCATCATAACACGGGACTATTCCTACTGTTGCAACTCCTTGTAGCCAGGATCTACAGCTTGACCGCCAATAAAAACCCATCCAGTGAGGGTCAAGTTTGTTTCGGGGAAAAGTTAATTTGTCATCTCACAACTGTTTTACCTACTTAACTTCTAAAAACCTTTTTTTGTCTCCCTTAATAGAAGATTAGGTCCATGGTTTTAAACAGTTCGATTTTTCAAGTTACTAATAATTTAAGATCTTTGGTATCCAGCACACTAAGATCTCATTGGACTAAAATCATCTACATGATAATCAGCAGGGGAAGTACCTCCTTTTAGATCCTCTGAGGATAATCCTTACGGCGTAAATATTCCTGTTCTCATAGGTTTTGCCGATTGAAAACATCTTCACTTCAGTTGGGTTCTGCTTGCTGAGATCTTTCAGCCAGCTGTATATGTCTCTAAGCCTGAAGAAGCTTCGCCAGTCGAAGGACTCCATGTTCCTCCGAATGTATGATTTTACAGTTTGCTTGTCAAATGCTCTGAAAACTCAGATTTATTATAGGTACTTACTTATCGCCTTGATGTAATTCCTACTGAAGACATTGTCAAACAAAGTACGAACTACAGTTCGTAGTACCTTACAGGGTAACTGTGCTTGAAGATACGCTACCATCATAAGAATTGCAGAACAAGAGCTGAGTTAAAAAATTTAGCTTAGCTAGTCTAAACTAACCCTGTATCACGTTACATCAACACAACTTCAGGTGCGCGCGCGCTATCCAAAATGAACTTACGCCCGTATTCACAAACGATGCTTGCTTATGTGAAGGAGCAAATCGAACGCACATAGTTGAATAGATCTCTGTGAGACCTCATAGAAATGTTTTTGAATACGGGCGTTAGAGATTAATGTCTCCTTAGAATGTCTCTTAAATTAGATTTCAGAAGTAGTTTTGAATCTTATAGAGAGTGTATTGTACTTGAGAACAATGACATAGTAAGGAGCCTTACCTTTGCAGATCCGGTATTATAGTAGTCAAATAAACAGCATGCTTGTTGGCATCAGCTATGAAATCCTTCTGATATTCTGGAGACACAATAAACTCAATCGGCCTATATAGGGTACTAGGTGGCCTCCAAAAGTTAACATTATACAAAGAATTAATATTATTGAAGAATTCCAAGTCCTCTTCATTCACTGGCATGCCACGGTATAAAGTGTAATTAGAATACTTCTTACAAATAACGTTTGAGCAAAAGTATAGAAGTAGAATGAATATTTTTATATGCATTTTTGAATTAATGTTGAATTTTATTAATCATGTTAAAATTCAGCCTCAGAGATTTCACATTTTTACTTAAATCGTATTATGACATAGTGCGTCAATGTCATATAATACAATTTTATTCTTTTAAAGCAATGATATTAAGATTAAAGTTTTTCAATCAATATCTATTAGTTTACAGCGAGTTTTATGTTATTATTTTTATCTTCAGCTGTTTCTTTCTGATGGTGTGAGCAGGCCTGTTCATCTCCGCGAGTTTACACTGAAAACAAAACACGCACGATGGCCCACCTACAGGATACTATTCGACAAGGCCTCACATACGAGCGAACATTGACTCACGCACGCGTATTCTTGTGTAGGTATGACGGAAGAAAATAAAGAAATGTGCAGTATTTAACTGCCTAAATAATAATAAAAACACAGAATGTATTTTTTTAAGTTGCCTCAAGACACTGAGAGGTAAATAAGTAGTAAATATTATTCATGATAATTCATGCTAAATCATGTATTTCCTCCGCCATTTTCCGCAGTTTGGCACCTCACGTCACATCATTTTACCGAAGTCAGCCCTATAGCTTCGGCGCAGTGCCGATCACTGACGTTTGTCAACAAAATGGTGCTTGACTCTTGAGACAGGCTAAGTACACCATATTGTTAATGACATTGAGCATAATTTTTTTTAAATACCTTCGCGAAGTAAAACTTCTGTACGTAGTACTTATTATTATTCTGTGGTGTGAGTAACACCAAACACTCAAATCGGACGCTGGTGCCGTTATTAGGCTATTATCTCCTTATAGCTGAAGTTTCCTAACTTGCATTTGCAATAAAACAAAATATTAACATTACCACAATTTACTTCATCATCATAAAACCCACACAAATTATCAAATTCCATCCAACATCCAAACTGCACGCAGAACTGTACAGATTCGCTCGGACGCGGCGAGGTCTAGCTGTCATTATTTCAACGAGACCGGTCAGGGTTTCCTTGCAGGTTGGGGCGATCTGATCTGGAGGGAGGGCGTAACCGTAGCTGCCGTTATCTCGCAAAAGGAATGTGAAGACGTACCTGGGGAAACAGATGAAGAACACATCATCAGGGAATTTAAAGCTCTGGCGCTTAACTGAGAGCTGGAGGTATGGAAGCGGCTAGGAAGGGCTTTTGAGACGTCTAACGTCATTGATACTTCAGATGTGCTTCAGGTTTGTATGCTCTGTCACATCATAATATGTGTATCAAGGGAGGGGTTCCATGCTGCTTCCGTAACTCAGGCACTGATTTAGTTATCCGCTAGCTAGACCTATCCCAACTAATATTATAAATGCGAAAGTAACTCTGTCTGTCTGTCTGTCTGTCTGTCTGTATGTCTGTCTGTTACGCTTTCCCGCTTAAACCTCGCAACCGATTTTGATGAAATTTGGCATAGAGATAGTTTTAGTCCCGGGAAAGAACATAGGATAGTTTTTATCCCGGTTTTTGAAACAGGGACGCGCGCGATAAAGTTTTTCTGTGACAGACAAAATTCCACGCGGGCGAAGCCGCGGGCGGAAAGCTAGTATTTTATAAGGCCACGATAGCCGAACGGTGAAGGGGTCGGACTGGCCGACTCGTAATCCGGGGCACGCGGGTTCGGTCCCCGCCGCCGCTCGACTATTGTGGTGAGCTCACTCGTGATACAAGCATATTTAGCTTAGTACGAGGGGCTAACGGGAGTATTAGTAATTTGTGCAATAACAAATTACTAATAATCTTTAAAAAAAAAATAGTTTTCTCAGGAGGAGGACGATCCTCTCTGATTTACAAGAGGCAAAAAAAGGATTTGGCCGTAACTCCCCACGGAGAACAGACAGATTGAGGAGGCCTGATATAACACATCATCACGGCATTTAGTATCCACAGCAGGAAGACGATCCTTTCTAATTTACCAGAGGTAAAAAGGAAGATTTGGCCACAATTCCCCACGCTGACCAAACAGGTTAGGGAGGCCTGATGTTCAAATATTTCTTCTTTAGTAGCTTTTTATGATATACACGGGAACGAGGAGTCCTATTACGATCAGCTGGAACCAAACGACTAAAATATTACAGAAAAGTATCTTTTCTTGAGCATGTTTTTCGAGGGCACAGAATTCTACAAGTTTCTAGGATCTATTACGCCCTTAAACTTAGGCCTTTACAGGTACTACTATTATTTATTCTGTGCCTTTACTTAATGTATCATTCTGAATGTTTAATTACTAGAGCTTTATTTTAACACTCACGTCTATATTTATCATTCTTAGAAATTAGGGGGCGTCCATAAATTACGTGAGACTTTTAGGGGGGGGAGGGGGTCAACAAAAACCTCACTAAATCTCACGTGGGGGAGAGGGGGGGTCTCAGGAAATATCACGTAATTTTTTCCGTAAGAAATAGAGAAATAGAGTTTGCCAGATAGGCCAAGTGCGTGTCGTGCCACGCGCAGTGTAGAGTTCCGTAGTTGTCCGTCGTTAACAAAATATATTTCAGAAGCAAGCAATTACTTCATCTAAAGTCGCTTTTAATATTTTCTTCTAAGGAATTTTTATTAGATATGAAATTTTATAATACATGAGTTAAATGACTATTACTCTTACTAACTGACCTACCCTAACCGTTATAGTTTTCTTGAAAGTTCATAAAAAGCAGTATTATTATGAATTTTTCCAGATTTTTCAAGCCAACAGTCTAGTATTTAGAGTGGGGGGACGCCCTGCTCGAACAAAAATTGGCACTTTAAACTTTAATAGTTTGCAAACGGACCCCTAAATCGAAAAATAGTCTTTGAAACCCCCAAGTCATCCAATGATATCCTACACGATGGTGTAGAAGATGAAAAAAAATTCATCCCCACTTTACACGTAGGGGAGCTACCCTAAAAAAATGTTTTTTCAAAATTTTATTCTACTGTCTAGTGCCAATAGTTTCCAAGCAAAACCTCGGACAGACAGACATATCGAAACTATAAGGGTTCCTTGTCAGGACTACGGGACCCTAAAAATTATATTTTCTATGATGATAATGACATTTTATTCTATACCGTCTAAACAAATAAAACTAACAATGCTACCGTCTGCATGTGTAAATACCAAAATGCAGAATAAATGACGAAATTAAGAAAATTATAAAACAAGTTTTTTTTTATCAAAGTCGCGTAAAAAATGACATGCATTAAATGTATGATGATTGTACAGCATCCCTAGCAGATACTTTCAAGAACTAAAATCTTAAAATAGATCTTTTTGATGCACTCGTTAGCGACAACGGTACANAGCATCCCTAGCAGATACTTTCAAGAACTAAAATCTTAAAATAGATCTTTTTGATGCACTCGTTAGCGACAACGGTACATGCAAACTCGCACTAAGCACACAAAAAAAACTTTCTCAGTTAAATTACTCCAAAACTATTAAATTTCGGATTTTTTTAAATATCACGTGAGATTAGGGGGTGGGGGAGGGGGTCAGGCAAAATCTCACCAAATCTCACCAAGGGGGGCGGGGGGGTTGAAAAATAGCCAAAATTGTCTCACGTAATTTATGGACGCCCCCTTAGAACATTAAAATGAAACCTTTTATCTCAAGGATAACCGTCTCATCTTTACACCGTCTGAAACTTCTAAAGAGCTTCAAGCAAGTTTCAGCTAACTATGAATAACCTAACACCCGCATCAGAGTACACACAGCTTCAATTTCCTGAGCTTTATTTAAAAGATAGTTGAATTAAGGCAGATGCAGACTAGATTTTATCAAACCGTAGGTACGCGAGAGACTTGGTACAGAATTTAATGCAGGACGAACAGATTTCTCACTTTTTTCGTAGCGAGGGAAATAACTTATTACGAGTAATAGTTAAATCAATAACCATCCTAGACTGTAATACTTATTATAACTTATTAATAAACATCTTTTTTTTTATGCATAACAAGGCAGGTATTTGACCACAATCGCACCTGATGTTAAGTGGGATGCAGTCTAGGATGGTACATATCTGCCCTGTAAGTGCTTATTCACATCGCGTTAAGACTCGTGTCTTTCCATTTCATCCTAGACTGCTGCTGCATCTCACATAACATCATGATTGCATTCAAATACCTGCTTTGTTATGCTTTAAAATGAATACACAATGCGTATTATAAAAATGGCCCTTGACGGTCTTTTTTATAATAGCAATTGTTTTGAATTGCTAGGAGTGGGTTCACCACAATAGGTTCTAACGGTTTCAACGTCCAACGACGGGGTTCGACGAAGATGCGCTCCACCATTCTTTCGCTAATGTTTGAGTGTTATTGGTACACGCTAAATTGTTGTTCATGAGTGCACACGCACACTACAATAATGACGCTCGGATTGCTCGGATCAAACTCCTCGCACCCCTCGCTTCCCTCGACCACAAATTGGTGGGAGCGTCTTCTTCGTGGATGAAACGAACTATATCGAGCTATTTGTTGCTGACCAACAACAATGTGAAGGCATCCTAATAATCAAGTTCCAAAGATTTTGCTGAGTTTCTATGATTAACTTAAAGTAGGTAGCTTACATTCGGATCGAAGCTTATCCTAACCACGCCTTAATTGGAATAACTTGAAAACCACTTGCGTAGGAATTATTAACTTTCCAAGTTAAACATTGTAAGGTTTCCTCAACGAATTAAGCATTTATTCAGGTAGGTATGATTTAAAAGGCGAGGTAAGTCTACTCAGATTTTGCTAAATTGCATATAAATCTACCTTCTGCATTTTATGGCACTTTCTAAAAAAAACAATTACTAACTTTACTCGATGTGTCTTCTTCACCCAGCTTGCACTGTTTCCAGAAATCCGAAAACCTGTAAAAATTACTTTATTGTACTTATGTAAGATGTAGGTATTTCTTAATAAATTCATCATCATCATCATAATCTCAGCCATAGGACGTCCACTGCTGAACATAAACATATATTCTAATTGTTTTATGTTTATTTTTTGTTCACTTATCAAACAATGTACTATGCTTCATTAGGTATATCTAAAAGCATTGTAGACTATCCAAGGATACATGAAAGAAAAACATTTTCTTACCAAGAGTATCGTAGAATGTACCCACGCTGTATTTCTTCTTGTACAACCTGTACATTTTCACTATTGCTTGTTTCCCGTAATTTTCCTGAAAACAAAAACCTATAAAGGACAATGACCAAAAGTGGTCCAAATGTCCACCACCAATGAGACCTATATTGGCTTATAGTCCATTAAATAGAGATTAACTTTCAGTATGGGACGAAAAAAAATAAGCTGTCAGTAAAAAGTTATGACTGTTTGAAAAATTGTAGTAGTTTACGCGCTAATCTCAGAAACTACTGGTCTGATTTGAAAAATTCATTTTGTTATGGATAGCTCATTTATCAAGGATGATTTTAGGATAAATAACATCACCCTACGACCAATAGGGGCGGAGCAGTAAAGACAAATGTTGTAAAAATGGGAAATATTATTCAAACAATTTTCACGCGTACAAAGTCGTAGGCACAGCTATAGTCTATCCAATATAGCTTGATTAGAATGACGGCTGTCAAACGAATGTGACTAGTGATGGGTATGTTTCGTACGGTTCACATAGATGTATCGATAAGTTTCGAAAAAATTATATGAAAAAATGCACCCCATTTTTCTTCATATATCTTTATTCATAAAAATGACACTTATGATTTAAATTTAAAGACAGTAAAATTTAAAATTCATGTCAAGGGTGTACAACCTAAGTCGTAGTCATTATCATCAGTGTTCTTCAGTGGTTTTTTCCTCTCGCTAGAGGGCGGTGGACATCTCTTCTAGAGCAAAGGTGCTATGAATACCCAAAAAATTACCGGTGATTGATTTCCGATGTTTGATTATTTAAGAATGAAATGTTTTTTGGTTTTTAATAGTGAACATTTAGAAAAACGTATAACTTGACTTAAATAATAATATGTTAAAAAATGAGTTGGAAAAAAAAATTGTTAAATATGTTTAAAAAATAGTTTTAATTTAATATGACATTTGTCGATATGTCCCAACACTAACATTTTTGTAACTCGAGATAACCTTGTAGAGACGTCGTTAATACTCTAGCTTGATTTTTATAATTTCGAATTACTACTTATTGGTGTAATTTAACGCTGCATTTACACGAAATTATCATTTTTATTGGAAGCACTGTCGTCGAAAATATTGTTTGTAGGTCAGACGTGAATTATTTCTTGTCCGCCAATATTTAGCTCTCATTGATCGCTACTACAAAGTTATGTCGTTACTTTTGATGACAGCTGTCATTCTAATCAAGCTATGTTGGATAGACTATAGTATAATATTTGATAAAATTCATCTATAACCCCACGCCACATGCGACATGACATAATATGCGTAGATTAGTCCAAAATGTGCAATGGATAGAATGATATCAAGAACATTTTTCGGATGAAAACGTAAAAAACAGACTTTTCATTCAGTCATAACTTTTTACTGACAGCATATTTTTGATTGCGGTTTGGTTATAATGAATCAGTATTTAGTAGACTATTTCACTACATAGGTCTCGTTAGTGGTAAACATTTGGACCACACTCATTGGTCATTGTCCTTTGAATTTTAAATGTTGTATGAATATTCGGCGTTCATATTGATCCCGTTGAAAGCTTAAACCGTAACTGAAGGGCACACAGCAGGCTTCCACCAAAATAAAACTATTAGCTCGTTGACCATTACGATTTGCGAAACTCCATGCGTTCCATGGGCAGCGGCGATCAGTAGCCTTAGTCACGTAACAAAACTTTAACGACAACAAATCGCTGAGTTGCGATCCTATCGAGTAATCGTTTTATCGAAATGACCCTTTGTGAATACGGATTTAGAACTGTTTTTCAATAGGACAACTTCTGAAAGTCAACAAGATTTTGACTGTGTCAAAATACCTGAATTAGGCCACAGATCAAAGTGAATGCAGCCCGCATCATGTATGGTATGAATCTATCGTCCTATCGTCGGTCCATCTTGTGGGTGCGCTTTCCGGTAAGTGACCATCGGCCGTCAGTCCTGCGTACTATGTGCCCTGCCCATTGCCACTTAAGCTTGCTAATCCATCGGGCTATGTCAGCGGGTTTAGTTCGTTGACGGGTCTCCTCATTACCGATTCGATCTCGTAAAGAAACACCGAGCAATAATCCTCTCCATAGCATGCTGTACAACTTTGAGCTTATTTATAAGGCCTATAGTAAGAGGCTACGTTTCCCAACCATAACGTAGCTATAGTACTGAGCTCACTGTTCCTACGTGACTTTATCTGAACCTAGTTTCAATTTGATCACTGGCTGTCTCCTTATTTGATTTTTTTCAGCTTAGAATTTCAATTTGTTTACGTGGTATCGTAGACGGCCTATAGTTTATTATGAGATATAACAATAACCAGTGATAACCATACCAATAACTTTAAGGTCTTCAATATTGTATTATAGATTTGTCGCAGACGGTCATGAGTACGGACACTAAAGTGAAACGCAAGTGCGCCACCTATCGGCGAATCGGCGCAACACCGCTTTGGCGCGCTTCGACAGAGTCGTAACGGTCACGGCGGGACGGAACGAACTCACTTTCGCTCCGGACGCCGACAAGAGAAGACATCGTCACGGAACTGTCCCACGTTTCACCTAGTGCCTATTTTATCGCTCGACGAAGTCTAGATTGTAGTACTAAGAACTAAGTGCTGATTTAGAACTCTGTTTGACGATTATTNAGTTTTGATGGACCTTAATCTCTATTGTGTTTTGATAATGTATCAAGCGATCGCTAGGTAGATAGTAGCGTACGTATTTCCGAATAGTCATCCGTTAAAATCTAACTGATCGTTGATTATTTCGTATTCAATTCTAATTGATTGTGGGAATAGACGTCTATACTGCAAATAGAGACGAATATTTCGAGTCTTACAGACCCACTTTATAATGAGTCAACCCATCTACCTTCGTTTCAAATTGTGGAAATCTATGATGGTGACCGTTATGTTTTAAAATCCCTAATTAACAAACGTGTATTGAGTATTCACATGATCGTGTTAGGAAGACCCCTGAAGGCCCAGTACCTATTGAGATTGTGAGGGAAACGAGTTGGATGACTAAGTTCCATCTAATTAATTACAAGCACAGGTTTCTCAATTGTTTGGTCGGAAATTGTACCAGGATGCCGTAGCCGTAGCCTATTAGAAACTGGTATCTGCTCTGAGTAGTCCGTGGAAATTCGGTAGTGCGATAGTTCTGGGTGGTGCAGTAGGATCTGGCAGTGTGTAGCTAAGATCATAAAGTCATTGGTTGATTGACTTAGGCTCCCGAGGTAGGGTAGCAAAATGTGGACCGCGATTGTGATACCTGGGACTCATTCAATTTTTGAAGTAATTTTTGGTAATGATGATTTACCACATGGTCTTAGTGACTTCAATGTAGCAATTATTAGGAATTGTGAATAGTAGTGATTGGATTCCTAAAAGCTAGGTAGTTTCTAATAGATAGCTATGGTTACTAGTTAGAAACACTAGACATCTACTTGGATGGCTTTTATTTGGAAGAGTGGATAGAGTATAGTAAACTAGTAGTAGAAAGAGTAACTAGTAGTAGTAGAAAGAGTAACTAGTTGTAGAAAGAGTATCTAGTAGTACTGAAAGTTTAGTTTCCTCATTTCTGAAAGCACATAAGTTGCTTGAAATAGGATTGGCCGAGCGGATACTGTGCTGTTCTTTTGGTTTTTTTCAGATGATCACACGAGGACGTGTGACACGCAGGATGGCCGTGTCGCAGACGGTCATGAGTACGGACACTAAAGTGAAACGCAAGTGCGCCACCTAGCGGCGAATCGGCGCAACACCGCTTTGGCGCGCTTCGACAGAGTCGTAACGGTCACGGCGGGACGGAACGAACTCACTTTCGCTCCGGACGCCGACAAGAGAAGACATCGTCACGGAACTGTCCCACGTTTCACCTAGTGCCTATTTTATCGCTCGACGAAGTCTAGATTGTAGTACTAAGAACTAAGTGCTGATTTAGAACTCTGTTTGACGATTATTAAGTGTTCGAACACAAGTCTCATTCTCATTGCACGATACCCTATTTCGCCCACAATATCTGAGGTTCGAATCCCTGACGTGCCGACAGATTTATAAATATGTTAGGTAAGTATCGAAGGAATTTTTCCTAAAATATTTGATGGTTATCTTCGGAAAAGCCCTTCTTCTAAGTGGATTAATTAAATATTTTGATAACGATAATTATTTTTGTAATATTGACACAGATTAGCATGATAGTAGGGATAATGCGTTACGTGAGTCCATGGGCTGGGTATTTCCTACGCATTAACAAATAGTTTTTAATTTTCGACTACCCAGCCCTACCTGAATATTTACACTTATCATAATTTCCATCATAAGATAGTTGGATAGTAGAATAATTGTTGTCCGATTTTTTTTATTTCTCACCTCTACAAACCTAATTATCTTCCATACCAAAATAACTATTTTTTTATGTTTTTTTATGCATAACAAGACAGGTCATCATCATCATCATCATCTCAGATATAGGACGTCCACTGCTGAACATAGGCCTCCCCCAACAAGACAGGTATTTGACCACAATCGAACCTGGTGTTAAGTGGGATGGAGTCTAAGATGGTACATTATCTTGAAACTCTCACCATTTCGGAGTAATCCTCGACATGGTTCACCCTATCAGCGTATGGTATGACCAGCTTCTGTCCATACCCATGGAAGGCGAAGTAGAACTTCAGATGGTCTTGTTTCTGGTTCACAAACTGTGACAGCGCCTTGCTCTCTGGCTCCGAGAACGGTGTTGGGCCGCAGTACTGCTCGTCTTTTGGATCCGGACTGGCAGCATGTTCTGAAAGATAATGATAATGTGAAAATGCGACGAAGGAAAAAGTTACTTACTGAGATTCGCACTAGTCAGTAACTTAGACTCTTGCTTGGTAGCCTTTAAAAAATAACACTCCATCAAATGCTGCGACCTCTAAACTGTACTACGTGCTATTTAAAACATAAAGTATTTAAATTTAATTTGTTAAACAATAAGGAATTCAATTGAGTATAGTGATGCACCTAGAAATTTAAAGAGATATCATTCCCAAAATAACTCATTTAGGGCCGATTTTTCAATCGTCAGATAACTTATATCTGAAGAATAAACTTGTCATTTTGACATATTTCTCATACTGAAACTGTCAAAAACTTAATCTTCGGTTTAAAGTTATCTGACGATTGAAAAATCAGCCCTTACTCTGATAAAAACTTATTTTAAGACAAACACTGAGAATGAAGTCCTTCATATTTTTTTTTTTTAATAGTAGGTTCAAAATCAACTTACTTCCAAAACTATAGTCGAAATTCCTGTTCAAATCAACGCCTACGCCGCCTCCAAGGCTCCTTCTATTTTTTCGCCAAAGACGATCCTGTTAGATCAAAACAGTTTTACTAAACAAATTATGACCTTGTAGGTATAATGATCTTTTAATTGGGGAGTAGGTAGATAAAAAAAAGTTTCTATTACTGTAAATATAGTGAGATAGTAGAATACTTGATCTGTGGCCATTTTTTTTATTTCGTAGCGTGGCATGACGTAGCCTAGGCAGGTGGACCGATGATCGGTGAAGGTCGCGAGAGATGCCTGGATGCGAGCGGCGCAGGACCGGTCTTTGTGGAAATCCTTGGGGGAGGCCTTTGTCCAGTAGTGGATGTCTTTCGGCTGAAAAGAACGAACTATAAAGATATTAATTTCTTACCACTTTCTGGCTATAATCATACCCATCTGGGTTGACAACTGGTATCAGAAACCACTGGTATCTCTCAGCTAAATGATGGATTCTTGCATTTTTGGTTGCATTGCAGTAAATGAGCTCACGGGCCAAATAAGTCACGAACTCTGTTGAAACCCATTCATTGCCGTGGACACCTAGAACATTTTGGTTAATATTTAATGGTTACTTGTGTTATTCCCAGTAGATCCAGTAGTGTGGGAAGCTGTCCCATGGACTTCCTTTCTTAATTAAATCAACCTGATCAATAGTTCTTACATACTTATCAATTTTTTAAAGAGTAAACCTGTGTTACACCATCTTATTTATTTTGAACATTGACAAAAGTCAAATATCTGTCAAACTCCATACAAAAACACTGGTTATTGTTAAAGTTACCCTCAAAGTATGTTGCAAGTCAGCCTAAGATTACACCAGCATTTAAGTGTAGGCCGAAGCTCCCAAAAGAGCTCCTGTAGTGCAGACAAAATGGTCTGATTATGATGATCACTTTAGTTATGCACATAATCTCTTTACCTCCTTCAATGATAACTTTCTCTCTCGCTGTACGCCCCTTCTTTATGCCAACCGCGAATATCTCTCTGCCTTCTGCAGACTTCCCAATGGTGTACAGTTCGACGATATTAGGGAATTTCAAAGCCAGATCTGACAACCACTGGTAGATGTCCTCTAAGGTGTGATAGAATTCCCAGGAGTACGTTTCAACTCTAAGCCTGAGGTAGCGTCTGATCGTTTGGTTGTCGAATGCCCTGAAGAATAATACAATGATAATCATACAAGTATTGCATTATAATACATAGGGCAACTCATGAAAGATGTATTAAAACCATAAACTTCTCTAATATACTACAGGTCAACTAATTCGGAATAAAAATCACAAAGATTGCGGCACAGCTTTTTCTCGCTGGGAATCAGCTAAATATTATGTAGTTGATACTTATCAGCATTTTAGTGAGCAATATCACTCAGCACAGCATGTCCAGTGAAAAGTCTGTAGCAGTACAGAGCCTCTATAGCGACTACGTAAGATTTGCTACTATTATAATGTATTCTGTGGTAAGATGATAAAGTGTTCAGATATTAATGCCGTTGCCTGTCCATAGAAGTCTTTGGGTTCTCACTTTTGTACATACAACAAATTTAATACTTAACACATCGAAATCTTTAGGTTCTCACTTACTTTTGAACATCAGGCGCTAAAACTTCAGCGTGCATTTTGAAGTGCCTAGCTCTTTCCATGAACAAGTCCTTATCAGCTGGATTCACTATGAACTGGACATCATGGTACAACTTGAAGGGTCTCTTCCAGAACACCATGTCTATGTACTTCTGCTTCTCCAGATTTTGCAAGAATTTCAAATGATCCACCTCTATGGGCACGACCCCAAACAGTGTGAAGTTGTCATACCTCTTGCTTTGACAAATCCTGAAATTGGTGACAAAAATAACTATGAGTGCTACCAGTTTTGCTTTCATTGTTTTGTAATTTGGATCAACCACAGCAATTTCATAGTGATGACAGAAAGACAGCTTGACGGTTCATGTCATTCAAATTACTTGTGATTTTATTCTAAACTTTATTCTCTACTCAATAGAAAGAAGGTAGAAAGTAGAAACACTGTTAGACTATTTCTATAGATCTGCCTCTCCAATTAACCGCAAATAACATAAAGCATATTATTAGCTTTCCGATTGACCCGAACTTCATTATTAGAAATCCTTAAAACTCCCTCTAATTTATTAAGGAAGACCGCTAAATTATTATCTAACAAGAGGCTCTACTACAAATTATTGAAGCAAATGATCTATGATGATGACTTGCGGCCAATCTGCTAGCCAAAAAATCCAAGATCTAGATGAATCAGCCCAAAATTAGCGTTGCACTCACAACTGCTGAACATAATTTAATTACCCAGCAGATTAAACGAGGCAAATCCTCGAAATGGACAAAGAAACTACGACAAACTCGGACTCATTAAAAGTTGGCATTAATGAAAATAACGGAAGAAACGCAACTGTCTACAGGAGTAAGTTTTTGAATAATATGCGAAGTTGCTCCGGCTGCTTTAATCTGCTTTATTAATTTTAGTTTTTACTGGGTGAGACGGATTTATTTGCTTGCCAGCTGGCGAAAAATTTCAGGTTAAAGACCTTTCAGCGAGTCCCACAAATTTTACTTTTTTGCTGTGGTATGGATTTTACCTACCGACTTCAAAAACCAACGTCATGATCGACCGACCATAGGCGTGTGACATGACCCTTCTATTTAACCACTAGAATGCCAAAATTATAAATGGTGAAGGCATAATTTTGTGAGTTTGAAATTAAAAATAAAACTTCCACTGTGAACAAACCAGACCTAATACATTGACCATGACTTACTTGTGGTGCCACCATTATTGTGGTACTTACTATTATTCTGTGATATAACGAACAACTCCCCTATAGCTTAGTTGTTAGAGTTGCCTAGCTGGCGACCTTAATGATAGAGACAAACTATGGTGCGACTTAAACCTTAGTTTGTCTCTACCAATAAGGTCGCCAGCAGATTTAAGTTTTTATTTGCCCTGAATCTTACGCCAGCTTCTTGAGGCCTGTTCCAAAAGTCAATATCATATCAAAAGTAGTTAAGTAACCAATAAACAAATTGAAGACGTTCTTACTCAAGCTCTTAGTAATAAACCCCCAAGCGCAGCCAAAATAATTCACTAACAACGTTACCTGATACAAGTCGTAACCGTAAAGTGCGTTACGTACATCATAAACCTACCCCTCTCCATTGATTGTATTACTTTAATAATATTAATTTATTATTATCGTATACAAAAAGCCCAATTCACGATAAGTGCCGGGGCGTGTATCCCAATTGCGCCGATTTATTGCGATGCCATAAATTCTGTGCCCTTTTCTGGACCATTAAATATCATGAAAAGTGGCTAATAAGCCGAAATAATTCCGAAATCGTCATGTTTGTTTCTGATTTGGAGGTTTTGGGAAACAATGTTGAACACGTAGGGCAATTTATCTACTACTAGCTGACCCGGCGAACTTTGTTCCGCCTTAATGTCAATAAATAAGCAGACTTTTTTATTTCGAACGGGACAAAAAGTATCCTATGTCCTTCTCCTGGCTCTAAACTACCTCCCTGACAATTTTCAGCTAAATCGGTTCAGCCGTTCTTGAGTTATAAGCGAAGTAACTAACACGACTTTCTTTTATATATATAGATAGATATAAAAAACTTAGACTAGAATGAATTAAGCTAAGGATGTACCTAAGCTTAATTCATTCTAGTCTAAGTTTTTTTTTATTTATTTTTTTATCCACAACGAGGAAGCTCTTGGCCTGTATCTCACTTGATGGTAAGTGACGATCAGGCCGAAGGTGGAAGCGAGCTTCACCCGGAATCCTCAACCACGGAGGAACTGACTATCTTACCTCTAACTGCCGGAACACAACAATGCTGTTAACATTGTTGTTATGGCGACAGACTTAGGTAAGATGGTGGTAGCTAGCCAGGCGGACTTAGAACAAGCCCTACCACCAACATAAGCGAACAGAAAATTCTGCCCCCACTGGAAATCGAACCCGGGACCTCTACGTCTGAAGCAGGTGGTCTTACCACGAGACCACAGAGGTGGTTAAAGGTTAAGTGCTATGGGAAAGGATGCATACCGATACTTTTCAGATAATTTATTTCAGTTTAGAAAAGATGTTGACGAGCTTCCCAACAGGTCTTATTACCTATTTACTCAACTAACTAGCCTTATATTCCAATTTATTTGGCATTAAAGTATAAATAAATAAATATAATTACAGCTTGACTTACTGATTAGGGAATTGATTTATTATTGACTTACCTAAAACATAGACAGATTTATAGAGATACCTACTAAGTATCGAGCTAACTACAAATAGGTAGTACTCGTAGTTTTCTGTTTCATATAAGATAGGTAGGTACATTATTATTTCTTAAAAATATTTGTCCTTTCTAAAATGTTGATGGAAAAAATAAAACAGTAAGCGTTTTATTTTTTCCATCAATGCGTAAAAATAACCTGTCGAATGCCTGACCCTATTGCGTTTGTATTACAAGTTACATAGCATCACAAACTTCCCAATACTGCACTTTGATAATCCTTCTGCTTGAAATGTGGTCTATCGAAAAAACGGTCATATACATACAAAGAACATAATTATCCGGACTTCTTACAACATGCACCATCAAAATATACCATGATAACTAACAAAACGACATCGCCCGGACAATATTGGTCATCGCACCCCTAATAGTGGGGAGTGGGGACAATTTACGGACCCCATAAATCAGTGGGACGGCCGCCATGCACTTACATACTTTATGTGATAGCATACGATTCATACCCTTTTTTTCTACAGATATTGTGGAGTTATAGGATTATTTTTGTCACTTTTGTTTTAATTATACTCTTCGATGTTATTTGTTTGCAATGTATTTCTATTTATGCATAATTATGAAAAAATTCAATTCAAATAATAGTAATTAGGTACTGCTAAAACTGTATGGTGATTGGAATGAAGGAAAGACAGTCTCTTGTTTATTGTGTAGTGGGACAAGGCTATTTATTTTATGTGGGGAGATTATTTAAATTACTGAAAGAAAGTATGCCAATAATAATAACTGATTGTGTCTGGAAGATTTTACATCCCTAAATATTGCGTAGTCAAGCCAAAGGCCTTTGTGTCTAATACTCTACATAAGACAGTACTCTAGTACACACAGCGGTACTTTAAGGTGTTATTAAGTGATTTTGCAACAAAAATAATTATATAGTCTGATGTTTTTTGGCTGTTTTTATAAAGTACTTAATATTAACAGCTTTTTTACTAATCACGATCAGTATCGCGATTAAGGCCCCCATTTTAACGTCAAAGTTGTGTAATAAAGACAAAATGATCTGCTTAAATTAAAAGAACGCCAAGTTGTGATGGCTACCAAAGTTTTCCTATTAGCTGAGGGGTTGGCACTTTTTTATTTGACTCTGTAATCTTCAAGACCCAATGACAGCTGCTTAAAAGGATCTCAAGTCTTGAGAAAAGAAAAGACAGTGTTAGGGCAATGATGCACGAAAACCGATAATTTAGCACGAATTTGCGACTTTATCCGCATTTAAATGTTGTGCACTCTTTCGGTTAGCGTGCCTAAAATAAAGAGCTTTCATAGCTGATGACTAGTGTTAAAAGATGCATTTAGTATAGCTGTATTGAATATTATGCTAAAAGAAGCTGATTTGCATATTATGTTAAAAGAAGCTGATTTGCGATTTAAAATGAATAAATTCCCAAGATAAAAATTGATTGATTCATCCGACCGATTTTGGCCATGGCGACCACCACTTCGACTGATTCAGATTTGGGGTAGGCCTATTACAGCAGTATCCACTGCTGTAATAGTCCTGTGGCTGAAATGATGATGATGAGATTCATTTGTTTAATTAAGTTACTCGTTTCTTTTATACAAAATTAATGTGTGTTATTTTATCATTGTGATGATAAAAGATAAGGAAGTCACTTCGATAACTAGATAGTCGAAATAAATTAGCGTTGTTTGGATATTAATCGGCAACATTTGAGGCACATTAATAATCATAATACTACAAAGGCGTGTGCGAGTAATCAAGTGAGACGCACATATTTCATAGAAATTAAGGCTGTGGGCAGACGTGGGGACTTTGGACTAACTTAACTAAAATATTGAAAGCTTGCTTTTTTGTTGACAACGAGAAAGCTTTTGGCTTACAATTTACCTGACGGAAAGTGGTGATTAGGCTGAAGGTTGGTAGCGAGCTTCTTCCGGAATTATCAACCACAGAGGAACTAGCTATCTTACCTCCAACTGTTATGTATGAATATAACAAGCATGATAACATTATTGTTATGGCGAGAGACTTAGTTAAAATAGTGTTGCTAGCCAGGCGGACTTAGACCAAGCCCTACCACAAACTATACCGAACAGAAAAGCATTATTTTGAGTAATGATGACACACAATCATCACTTACTGTCCTAAAGAAGTGGTAGGATTTAATTATTCTGGGTTATGTAGTCTTTATATTAATGGCCAAAATAAATGACATGAAATGAAATAAATGACAAAAGTATGAATTTATTACTAATGTACATATAATAGTTGCTATCGGCAAGACCTGGAGCGTGATCAAACGCGAAGCTCAAGACCGAACGCGATGGAGGACTGAGTTGTGACCATTGATCTAGGGGACATAGGACCTTAAGTCAAATCAAGTAAGCTTTCAAGAAGAGAGCGTATCTTCAACTTAAAGGCCGGCAACGCACCTGTAACGCCCCTGGGACTGCGGGTGTCTATGGGCGACGGTAATCACTTACCACCAGGTAATCCGTCTGCTTGTTTGCCACCTGTCACATAAAAAAAAGTCATTATAGTCGCTAGGCTAGTTACTAGTTAGTAGGTAACTTCGTGTACGGTAGGCCTAATCAAATGAAACAGACATATTTCATAGGCATGTAGAGATCTGATGAATAAGGGCCGTGTGTCATGTCGGACGCGCCCTCTACTAAGGGACAGGGCTGGTGTGTTACTGCATTAGTAATCTTCATTTGGGACTTTCAACGGAATAGGTAAGTAATGGCATAATCTCGTTGTTTAGTTGGGGCTTATGTCAGATCCATGTTGGGTGTTTTGATTTGAATGCGGTAAATTTTTAATTGTGTTTACATAGTGGACAGATGACCTTTCTAAGCCAAAGCTTTTAATCAGTGCTTATTTCAACCGGCCATACTGGAAATCATTGAGGAAGGCCTATGTTCAGTGAACGCCTTATTACTGACTAGCGGCCGCCCGCGACTTCGTACGCGTGAATCCCGTTTTTCCCGCTAATTCCCGTTCCCGTGGGAATTTCGGGAATTCCTTTCTTAGTGCACCTCTACGGTACCTAAGCTACGTCCCTTCCAAATTTCAAATGCCTACGTTTAGCCGTTTAGGCTGTGCGTTGATCTGTCAGTCAGTCAGTCAGTTTCTCCTTTTATATATTTAGATATGATGATGACTTAGTTTTACGATCCAAAAAGCCCGAAATGATTAACGAATTAAATAATGTAAAATGCACATTAAGATGATAATGTGTGGTAACATAAAAATATGCAAAAAAATTATAAACTCATTTTATGGAGTGATTCAAAACTTACCAAAGCGGTAACAAACCATAATATCCAAATTCGCTCGGTCATTGTTTCATAATTTAACGTTAGTAGTTTTACAAAACTGTCACTTTGACGTAAGGGCGTCTAGTTTTTATCAGCATTAATTAATATCCCTATTTTGTAAAACGGGAGCGTAATATTGTGAGTTATTATGGTAATTATTGAAGTGGTAACTAAGTGTGTTCAGATATATGTAGTAGGTGTTTGTATGTCATTATACTGGTAGAGTAAAATAGCCCTAAAATAGATGTTACAGAAAAGAAAAGTCCTCGAGTCGTGACCACGAAGTGGAAAATTTATATTAGCTACTTAAGTAACCCTATTAGTAAGCTAACTCGTAGTTATTAATATACTATACATCTATACTTATCATAAAACTGTAGAGAGGTCAATTCTGTACATGAAATATATTATTTTCAAAATAACTATTAGGGGATGATTAATGATCGATACTGATGCCAAAAATGCAATCAGTAAAATTTTTGTCTGTCTGTCTGTCTGTCTGTATGTTCCTTATAGAAACAAAAACTACGAAACGAAACTTGGTACAATTATTATTCTTCATACTCCTGGGCAGGTTACAGTATACTTAGGAATTCCCACGGGAACGGGAATTCGCGGGAAAATAATTTTGTATGAAAAATCTAAACCGCTTAAGTTTGACGCTTGAAATTTGGCATGCAGGTACCTTAGTAAACTTAAAGCTTAGTTACAACAGGATATTGCAAAATTCCCACGGGACCGGGAGTTAGAGGGAAAAAACATTTGTATGAAAAAATCTTAACCGCGTAAGATAGATGAAGGGGGTAAAACGGGATCTAGGTACGCGTACGAAGTCGCGGGCGACCGCTAGTGATACATAATACGTATTGGAGTCCTCGATCCAAAGTGACCACAACAAATACCATACAAACCCATACAACTCTTCTACGTTCAACAGGAGACAAACTCAACAACTTCAAAGTTAAAAATTAATTGCCCTTTGAAGGCAAAAGCGGGGTAACTCCAAAATCTCCGAGTTTAATTCTTTGATAACAAATTAGCCAAAACACCGAAAATTCGAGAAGTTTCGAAACATACCTTTATTAAAACAAAAGAGGCGTCGTTATTTTGTGAAAAGGACATTGTCAGAAACCGCCTAAAAACCGCCAAAAAACATTAACCCATCATAATTATTTTCTATTTTTTTTAATACATTAAGCACCCTTTCGTTCTAATGGACACTTAAGCATTGAAAAATTAAAATAATAAGTCTTTTAACGTTTATTCTATAATACTATTACAACTTCCGGACGTTTTGGTGCGTGGCATGGTCTAAAACCTATCAAGTTCCATAATTTTTGCCGATAAAATCTGTACGAGGCATTACCGTACTTTATTGCTGGGAGTCCATGTATAGTGATGTTCCTGCGGCCATCATATACAATAAAATATCGATTTTGAAAATAAAATAAATCGATTAAACTGCTTTGAAGACTAGATTTGCGTTAAAAGCTAAAAAGATATTGACACTATTACAAGAAGCTATCTAAAGTGTCCAACTGGTCGAAGGTCGTAAATAAAATAAAAATAATTAGGACCATAAACTGATATTCATGGTATCATAACTGTAAAAGTGTCAGAATCCGATGTTGAATCCAATGCCAGTTGAAGTGTGAGAAACATATATATATTTTTTTTATGTGACAGGAGGCAAATGAGCAGACGGATCACCTGATATCAACCTAGTATAGTTGCCAGTCTCTCATAATCTATGCCAATGAGGGTTTTCGCGATTGAAAAATCCGCCAGATGGCAATACGTAGACGTGAGGTCCAAATGCTGCATGATTGGTTATTTTTGACATGACATTGATAGATATCCACCAATCATGCAGCATTTGGACCTCGCGTCTACGTATTGCCATCTCGCGGATTTTTCAATCGCGAAAACCCTCATTCATAGCACATTAATAATAGACCAATGAACTTTTATAGATTGTGAATCTTGCCACGAAGTATTTTTTCAGTACAAACCAGGATTGGATAATCGCTACAGGCAAGTATCAGAACATTTTATAAATATTTTTAATCGATTATATCCTTGTGAATCGTTTTAATAAATTGTCATTTTACTTTTTCTACTAATTAAAACTTTTTCAATCCCTAGTCTTGTCAAACTGCCATAATGTCAACAAATTATAAATGTCACGTCAGTTGACTCAATTTCAGTCTTCTGTGCGTTTATTGTATTTTTATTTCAATGAAATAGTGCTAAAGGGTTAGTACTAAAAGTGAATGCCTTTTTTCAGAAAGAAAACCAATGTGGTGCCCTTATTATTCATACTGTTTGAAAGTTACAAGTCAGTGATACAGAGTTGCCGACATTATAACTCCGTAGTGATACCATACCAAAGAAGATGTTTTCCTAAACACACACACTTGTGTTATTTTTATATAAGAACAAATAAAAAGGATTAATTCTACAGCTCAAATGGAATAACTTATCCCCAGAGACCGAATATAAAAAAAAACCTCTCCATNCTATTACAAGAAGCTATCTAAAGTGTCCAACTGGTCGAAGGTCGTAAATAAAATAAAAATAATTAGGACCATGGTATCATAACTGTAAAAGTGTCAGAATCCGATGTTGAATCCAATGCCAGTTGAAGTGTGAGAAACATATATCAACCTAGTATAGTTGTCAGTCTCTCATAATCTATGCCAATGAGGGTTTTCGCGATTGAAAAATCCGCCAGATGGCAATACGTAGACGTGAGGTCCAAATGCTGCATGATTGGTTATTTTTGACATGACATTGACATTGATAGATATATTTTATATTTTTGACATTGATAGATATCCACCAATCATGCAGCATTTGGACCTCGCGTCTACGTATTGCCATCTCGCGGATTTTTCAATCGCGAAAACCCTCATTCATAGCACATTAATAATATACCAATGAACTTTTATAGATTGTGAATCTTGCCACGAAGTATTTTTTCAGTAGAAACCAGGATTGGATAATCGCTACAGGCAAGTATCAGAACATTTTATAAATATTTTTAATCGATTATATCCATGTGAATCGTTTTAATAAATTGTCATTTTACTTTTTCAATTAAAACTTTTTCAATCCCTAGTCTTGTCAAACTGTCATAATGTCAACAAATTATAAATGTCACGTCAGTTGACTCAATTTCAGTCTTCTGTGCGTTTATTGTATTTTTATTTCAATGAAATAGTGCTAAAGGGTTAGTACTAAAACTGAAAGCCTTTTTTCAGAAAGAAAACCAATGTGGTGCCCTTATTATTCATGCTGTTTGAAAGTTACAAGTCAGTGATACAGAGTTGCCGACATTATAACTCCGTAGTGATACCATACCAAAGAAGAAGTTTTCCTAAACACTTGTGTTGTTTTTATATGTGATCGAATAAAAAGGATTAATTCTACTGCTCAAATGGAATAACTTATCCCAAGAGACCGAATATAAAAAAAACCTCTCCATAGAAATTATCACCATCACGAGGATGTGAATTTTTTTGAGAATTTGATATTGGTCCTGTAAGAAAAGTAGTTGTATTTCAGTAGTAGAATCAACCCTTCTTGTTTCATCAGCAAGAGTAACTATAAAAACGCCCTGTAGGTAGGTATTATTAAGCTGAAGAGTTTGTTTAGTGTCAAAGACTGTCACACAGTGTAACTTAAATTGGCATATTATGATAATGAACATAAAAACTTAAATAAATATTTATGTTAATATTTTTTCTATTTATTTATTTTCCCAAAGCTTCACAGTGACAGCTGAAACAGCAATACTGTTAACAAAACAGTAAAACTAAACTTGGAACAAACTGTTACAAATATGAGGGGTTTAATATTTTACAAATTAAAATAAAACCGCATGTTGCTTTACTTTCTCGTATAGGTAATAAATGTAATTAATGGCTAGATTATTAATGTTACTTTGTTACCCTCAATAGTGAGGAAATCTTATAAAATGGTAACCCTGATTTTTATTGTCATTCAAGTGCTCTTTCTTCGCATAGGCTTCTGTGATTTGGCCAAGGGCCACACACATTGCGATAACATTATGCGACATTGATTTGACAGCAGCGGAGTGAAGTCTTGCGACTATGCAAAATGATACCCTGTAATCGTAGCGCATACAGACATAGACGGGGCGGGGCACATAGCTCGTAGAGCTGATGGCCGCTGGGGCAGGAAAGTTCTTGAGTGGCGACCACGAGCCGAAAGACGTAGCGTGGGCAGGCCTCCCACTAGGTGGACCGACGATCTGGTGAAGGTCGCGGGAGGTGCCTGTATGCGAGCGGTGCAGGATCGGTCTTCGTGGAAATCCTTGGGGGAGGCCTTTGTCCAGCAGTGGACGTCTTTTCGGCTGAAACGAACGAACGAACGATACGTATTACCACTATTTACCAGACATTACTATTTATTGCATACTCGCCGGATTACACGTAGGAGCACGCGCGTAACAGCTTCGGCCTTGCATTATTATAAGATCTTGTTCCGCCCTTTTACGAACTTCCTCCGTGAGGATATCCCCGCCGAATTCTATGATGAACCTATCAAAAGTCATATTCTGCAATGTCAACCCACCACAAGGTGGACCGACGACCTGATAAAGGTAGCGGGAAGGCGCTGGATGCAGGCCGCTACCAACCGTGCGATGTGGAAGTCATTGGGGGAGGCCTATGTTCAGTAGTGGACGTCCTGTGGCTGAAATGATGATGATGATGATGAAATGAATGAAAATGACAAATCTTCGAACGTGTATAATACCGTGCCAAAGTAATCATATAATTTTGGCACCTTAATAACTATTGCCGTTTTTGTTGTAAAGATCATGCAGCGCTACTTGCGGATATTATTGGAAAGAAAACTATGTGGGCTCTAGATCTGAAGCCGCTTTAACGAACACGAAGTGCTCATACAATGCGGCGTATTTTCTTCCAGTCTTTAGTCAGGACTTTAGTCGAATTAAAACCCCGGTTGAACGTGATATAGCCGCACTAGAATACGATGCTTTTTTGCATAATCGCAAGACTTCGTTCCGGTGTCGACCGAATGTTATCATGATGTATGTGGCCCAGGGGTTACCGTAGCCGCTAAGGTTTGAAACTTCTTGCTTAAAATATTGTAGTCTTTGGCATAGACTACGACGGTAGTCATGGAGATAGGAGTTTGTTATCTCGTGTCAGATGTAAATGGTGAAAAGAAAACTCATGATTCGTGTTATTTTTATGCAATATGTAGGTATTTTATAAAAGTGGAACCCCGAGTGATCTCCAAAACCCATTCTATTATTATATACGATTCGGCTTCGATATCTATAATACAATAGGAGTTTATTTCATGTGTCAGATGACAAGGGTGGAAACAACCTACGATTCATGTTGTTTATTTACGTGCAATATGTGGGCATATTATAAAAGTGGAATGCCGAGTTGTATTTCTAAAACTTGTTCTATTATTTTATACTATTTGGCTGCGACTCGGCGTGACGACAATACAAAACATTTTTCGCGAATCGGTGTTCATACATTCACTCAATACATTAGACGCCATGTTGTCATAAACGACATATTATAAAATCGCTGTGATTTAATATTCTTAATCATTAATTTTATGGCAAGTGTCCATCAGGAATCATTGTTCTTACACACAGAATCGTATTATTTCGCTTTCGGGTAGTAATATGTCAAAATTGTTGGTTCTTAGGCGAACAATGTATGGAGAACGAACATTGTCCTTTGTACAACAAACTCGGGGACGCAATTAATTGGCACTTTACTGTGGCAGTTAACATTTTACACATAAAGCGACTGACGACCTACTTATTTATTACCTAATATAATAATAAGCAAGGTTCTGGAGTGGAGGCCATGTACCGGAAAACGCAGCGTGGGACGTCCACCCACAAGGTGGACCGAAGACCTCACAAAGGTAGCAGGAAAGCGCTGGATGCAGGCCGCTACCAACCGGGCGATATGAAATCATTGGGGGAGGCTTATGATCAGCAGTGGACGTTCTTTGGCTGAAATGATGATAATATTTAAAGTTACAACTAAGGCAGAAAGTTCTCAAGTATTATATAATCATGAACCGTAAAGCGTAGTGTAGACAGGCCTTTTCACTAGGTGGACCGAATATCTGGTGAAGGTTGCGGGAAGCACCCTGTACCCATAAGGGCAGCGAAAGCCGATCGTTGTGAAAATCTATGGGGGAGACCATTATTCAGCAGTGGACAGCATTAGACTGAAACGAATGAATGCCATACAACTCAATTCTCATACAAGCGAACTCAATAGGATTCTCTACCAGGGAAGTAAAGACATTAGACAGAAAAATCGTGGGTACTCTTAATAATAACTAATAAAAGTATCTTTCTTTCTTTCTCAAATCGGTAGTTCCTATGAAAACGGCACACACCAATCTATGCTTTAATTCAAATGACCTAAAGCCCAGACTGCATAAATTAGTTACCATCCTGACAGCCGTTCCTACTCAAAATTAATTACTATCACTGACAACATAATATGAGACAAGATTTAGCCTAATCTGACAAACCGATCTCAGGTGTTAGGGGCCGTAGATAGAGAAGGCTATATTTCACGTATAAGATAAAAAGGACAAAAGATTTGAAGTAAATCTTCAGTTGGTTCCAATTGAAAGAATTGCGCAATAGGGCAGTTTCAGTTGGGTCAATTTTGAAAGTTCTTTCACCAGTTGAAAGATATTATAGTACTGAGTAACATTTTCTGTGATAGACCCAAATGGACGCAGGCAAAGACGCAGGCTAAAGCTAATAAATTCTTCAGTTTCTCTAACTCAGTGGTTCTTAACCGGTGGTCCGCGGACCACTGGTGGTCCCTGGAGGCATTCCAAGTGGTCCACGAAGACATCGTAATACAAGTGACGTGACGTGATGAGTCGAGCCAAGGCAACGCCGTCGAGTAAAAAAAATAAGTGGTCCCTGACGAGACAGAAATTTGGTAAAATGGTCCCTCGTGAATTAAAGGTTAAGAACCACTGCTCTAACTCATCTGGGATCATCTAGGTTGGAACCTAACCTACTTTGCAACTAGGTAGAGAGCCTAATTTACTAGCCACTAGAGTTCATTAGATTTACTAAGTTTTTTGTAAAGACTAAGGACTCTTTCAAATTAGATTTTTTGAGTACTAAGGATGTCATTCCGAAGGAAAATTTACGACAACTGCATTGAAATAAAATTACTATCACAATGTAGTCTTGTAAACGCACAACTAACATCCTGTGCCCTGAGCACAAATGACTCTCGTGATCGCATAGTAATCGTATTCCGTAAACAATCGTAGAAGCACTGTTTTGTTTTTCATACGATTACCATAATTATCACGAGAACGATACTTGTTCGTGCTCAGGGTACTGCTCAAAACGACTAATCTGATAGAGCTAAGTCATTAACATTATAGTTTGATGAGACTAGTTAATTTGATGAGAGGCCATCCATAATGCCACCATTAATTGCATTCTAAGCGCAAGGAGCACAAAAACAGTTCATTATCAAAGGAAAACCAGTTCAAAAAGGCAATTATTGCCTACGAATAAAGTCCTTTTATACGACAGAACAAAATCACAACGTTTTGACACAACAGAAACGTCAAAACAAAAGTGGTCTTTACACGAAACGATTTAGAAGTCGGAATCGGTTGTACCAAATCGGCATATTTCCCTTTTAGACACTGGGCTGGGTAATGACAGTAATAAATCATACGGATCG